GGGAGTACGCCCAGCCGGTTACATGTGTTTTGTGGACCTAGAAAAAGCCTATGACCGGATCCCACGCAACAGTCTGTGGACACGCCTTCGTGAATACGGGATAGATGTCCAGCTGCTAAAGGCCATCCAATCACTGCATTCTGATAGCTGGTGCTGCGTCACAGTTAATGGCGTTAATTCGAACCCATTCAACGTTCCCAGTGGTCTCCACCAAGGCTGAGTCCAGTCCCCTATCCTGTTTGTGTTCCATATGGATAGAATAGTCTGGAGCTGCAAAGGCGATGAAGCTATTGGTGTATATGTCGAGAAGGTTGCTGTTTGCAGACGACCTTATTTTGTTAGCTTTTTCTTAAACTGATCTTCAGTGCTCCCTAGAGTGGTTCGCAGCCGAGTGCTACGTGACCAGCATGCGTGTGAGCGCATCTGAAACGAAAAGCTTAGTGCTTTCTCGTTCTCCTGTCCGTTGCTCTCTTCTGATTAACGGAGAGGCAGTGGAACAGGTGAAGTTCAAGTACTTCGGAGTTGCATTTACTAATGATAGAAAATTGGAGGAAGAGATAGACCGACGAACTGGAGTAGCCAGTGGCGTTCTGCGCGAACTAGTCGAACCCACTGTGACTAAAGCAGAGCTCAGTCTGAAAACTAAGCTCTCAGTACTCAAGTCGATCTTTATCCCCATACTTACGCACGGTCATGAATCGCGGACCATCACTAAAAAACTTCGAACCCGGGTACAAGCTGCTGAAAGAGGCTTTCTTAGACGAGTGACTTGCCTTACGCGTCTCGACACGGTCCGGAATACTGACATCTGGAACAGCCTTGGTATACAGCCTTTGCTTCTCCAGATTGAGAAGTCACAGCTGCGATGGCTTGGGCATGTGTTGCGAATACCTCCAGAATGAAGGCAAAGCAACTGTTTCTTGCGAAACTGACAGGGAGAAGGCCCAGGAGACGGTCAAGGTTAACCTAGTGCAAATATACGAAAGGAGACTGTTCCAGATTCGAGACTCCATTTGTCTTTTGCCGAAGCTCAGTCTCTGGCACAGGATCGGAAACGTTGGAAGGTCTTTCTGGCGCGTCTGCCTCCGCGACCGGAAAGGTGAAACGGCGATGGAAGACGAAGATGAATGCATCTGGATGATAATAACGATTGTGAGAGTAAAGATCAAAATGATTATGATAAGGACGATTGTGATAAAGATGGTAACGACAGTGATTATAATGATTATTGTGATGATAACCATCATGATAGGAACGATTTTACCAGCGGAGTAGAGATGAAGACCACTGATCGCTGAGTAGGCGGCGCCAGAGCTGATGTTGATGACGACTCGCTGGGAGACGAAGTCGGGACCGAAGTTTTCTAAGAACGTCGTGTTGAGGAGGATGGGCGAAATAACGTTCATGTCAAAATATTCCCGCAGGTCGGTCGCGCTGTCCAGCTGTGAGCAATGCTTGTGGATCGGCCCAATGGTCGCCGCGTTGTGCACGATCATCGCCACATCGATCTTGGTTGTCATTGAGCACAGCTGCTGCTTGACTTCAGCGAACATCTTTTCAAACACTTTCTTGTCGATCACCGACAGATCGGTGCTGCACAGGAATACGGAGATATTCGGCGCGATCCTAGCCAGCTCCAGCTTCACAGCGTTGAGCATGTGCAAGTTTCGGGCCATCAAAATCATGGTCGATCCACAGGCGAATTTCTGCGCTAGCGCCAGCGCCATCGCCCGGCCGATGCCACGACTGGCCCCTGACACCAGACAAACAGTTTTCTTACCGAGCAAGCTTAACTGCGCCATTGATCCTAAACAAAACAGTTGGAACAACGGGAGATCATAAGCATACAGCCAGACAGAACGGCGACCGGCACGGAATTCAACACCTCACAAAAGTTTACATGCAAACAAACAAGTCGATCTTTATCCCCATACTTACCTACGGCCATGAGCCGTGGACTAGAACTGAAAAGCTTCAAACTCGGGTACAAGCTGCTGAAATGAGCTTTCTTAGACGATTCGCTGGCCTTACGCGTCTCGACATGATCCGGAATAGTGACATCCGGAAGAGCCTTGGTATACAGCCTTTGCTTCTCCCGATTGAGAAGTCACAGCTGCGATGGTTTGGCCATGTGTTGCGAATGCCTCCAGAAAGAGAAGAAAGGCAAAGCAACTACTACTTGCCCACGTTACCGGCAGAAAACCCAGGGACGATCAACACTGACTTGGCGAATATATACTGAGTCTGCTCTCCACTCCAGTTGTAACCTGTCCAAGCTCAAATGCTGGTACCGAATCGGGAACGATGGGAGCACAGTCTGACGCTCTGATCCACCACCCGAAATGAGGAACAGCGACCTCAGCTGACCGCAGAGGCTATTTTATGTATATATATATAGCCTACGGACAGTCCCATATTGGCAAGTGTCTGAAAAGGTTTGTGTTCGGCTCAGCGCAGTGATGCGATTTTGCGTCCGTTTAGAAAAGGTGCTAAAATACTACAAAAGTGAAGTCTACTTATTACGTACCCCAAGGCCAATATAAGAAAGGTGACGATGTCAGTACACCGTGTAAATCCAGAGGCGACGGATATCGTTAACACTGAGGGTATTGAAAAACTATCACTTTTCTGGACAACCCATAATACTAAGGTTACTTGAGTAGAATAAAGATTTTGTAGGTCCTATACCATTTCAATTATACACTCGTACATAAATGCATACATACAGGCGCATAGCTCTTCCAAGAAAATATATCCCGGCGCATTGCACAATTCTTCTGTTCTTAGTTGCCTGGAGTCATTTAAGAGCACCCCAGGCTTTATAATATTTGAGCTAATGCAACGCCGGTTGCATCTCGCACCGTCTTCTCAGTGAAGCAAGAACGTGCTGTTCACGTTAAAGGAGCTGTACTCGATACATGCTACAGCATAAACGGCGAAATATTATCTTAAAAACCGGAATGTGTCAACTGGCGCAAAATTTCTGCATGACTAGATATATACTGTGATAGGATTTAAAAAGTATCAGTTCTTGAAACATATCGTTCGTAATGAGTATG